CAGGTAATGGTAGCCGATAGAATTGGTATTCGGAGTGATATACGCCATGTTCATGATGCGGAAATACTAGGTTAAGTCAAGGTATACAGGTGGGTATAAGCTTTGGATTGTGGCCGTAGGTTATGCATAATGCTAGCATCCCCTTGCCGGATCCATGGGAACCTAACCTAACGGCCGAGAAGTACATGCTTAACCTTGAAAGAAATATAGAATCCTGCCTAGGGTGTCTAGGCATGACGTTAGTAGACGGTATAGGGCTGCAGGCATGAAGCACCCCTCGCCTGATACGTGCAGCTTGATTACCAGGGTTTATGTCTCTTTGCAGATAAGCTCGTTGTCAATCTGGTTAGCGGTTCGGACGCTTGTTTTCGCAATTCTCTTCAGCCCAGTGCGGCTGAATTAATATATAATATATGGGTTTCTGTTCTACCTAAATGCCACAAGATTTTTGCGTTGGCTGTGGCTTTTATTACACCTGAAGTTAGCCAGGCTTAAGCCTTGCAAGCTTGCCGACAACATCATAGGAAATTGCGAAAAGAAGAGCCTGGAAACCCTAGTATCCGTGTCTATCAATGCGTAGATAGATTCCCCTAGATAAAAGCAAATATATTTAATCGTATGACATCGGCGGGGTCCCCGCGCCTGCATGCTGACAGTGCAGACCAATATCCGAAGCTAGGTTCCAAGACAGTTGCGTTTTCCCCCGTTTTCGACTCTAGAGCTCTGTGGGTTTGGCCCTTTGAGAAGGTAGGGATAGTAGGTAGTCATACGATATTATCCTTGGCTTTGGTTAGGGGTATGGTGCAGCCTTATAGGGCCGTGCAGGATGATGTGTATTTATTAAGATGCCCTGATTTTATTGACCGGTTTTAACATACATGTGTGCTTGGACTCGGTATTTCCGGTAATTGTATGATTGATTGATTGATTAAAATACATATTTTCTCCTTCTACTTCTAAGTTCTTCATCTTTCCCAATCCTTACTATTTTTCCTTGATCATGTCGGGTCACTCCTAGTCCCATAGTATGATTTGTCTCGTAAACCAGCCTAGACACAGTATGGCCATTCTTAGGTCCTACTAACAGCTTTGTAGTAGACCTTTTATTCATTCTTCAAACTTGTGTAACTGTGCCTCTATATAATTTTGCTTTTGGCAAAACCCTAAGTTTTGAAAGTGTCAACTGATTTTGGATTCAATTGAAAATGCGAGTGGCCACTAGTCGAATCAGCTGATACACAAATTCCGGAATGGAGCCAGTAAATAAGATAAAAAGTCGCGATTACGGCCGGTTTTCGCTATCCTTCTGACGCCCTCCGTGAACCCGCTGGGAAACATGTGCGCTTTGTTCAAAATTTCGTTGGTGTTACCGCCAATAGCTACCCAGTTGTCAGCTTATAGGGTAAAAATTCTGGGCCAATTTACAATATCTTTACGTACTCCATCCGATTACAATTGGCTGAGTTGGATTGCGAGGATCTTCGATTGCTACTGGACCCCCAGAAAAGCCTTTGTAAAAGCTACAGTCCAGTAGTATTTCACCGTTTTCGAAGATGACGTCCGAGATCACGCCAGGAGCGACGGATTTATGGTATGGGTGAAGTAAATGGTGCACATGGTGGGCATTGGGCTTAATACAAATTATTAATACGACTCCAAATTAGTACTCGGTAATATTTCTAGAAATAGGCTGGGTTGCAGAGTTGTTGGGACAATACCTGTTCGATACTATGCTCAGGTCGTAATTGTTTGTATTTAGCTAAGTAATCTTTTAATTCGAGATCCGGTTCGTCGTTATAACCAACTGCAAAAACCTTTTTGCCTTTCCAGGTAGTGTTAAGGTTAATAAGCTCATGGGTCTCGAGAATGCGGTCAATATTAAGCCATGATGGAGATGGCTCCGATTTGGGGTTAAGAACGAAGATTCCCAAATCATGTTGGGTACTCCATTCTTCGAGGAAAACTTTGGAACTTTCCCGGTCCTGTCGGGAGCCTCGCGCATTATAGTCTTTAATACTGATTGACAAATGGAATTTGGGGTTACGGTGGGATTGCCGAATTGATAGTTCATCGCCAGGTTTCCATAGGTGGAGAGCGCTGAAAAATACATCTGGGAAAATCCAGAAGCCGGATTCGAACCCCATCGTAAGTTCATTTGTCAATCTCCCAGTAGATTGGATTAATCTTTTGTATTCGGGCTGCTGGATATACTGTAAGTCTTCCTCGACATCGGAGTCAATACGGCCTGAAGTAGTATCAAGACAGGGCCTCCAGGAGTGTCGGTTGGCATCATAGGACAATGCACTGAACCGAGCACCGGGTTCTGATTTTGTGGTTTTATACGGTCGAGAAAGCTGGTGGCAGTTAGTGTTATATCTGAGAGCAAGGGGGAAGCACATAAGTTCTTACATCTCGAGGCAGCCTCGGTACTTCCGACCAGACTCTCCCCGAGGTTGAAGGGGGCGCGCTCATTGTGCTACGAGATTGTCGAGACAGAAAGGCCTGTCCCGCGTTTTCTTCGACTGTTGGGCGACTATGAACCAACTGAGATGTCTGAACTAGTTCAATGGAATTTCTGGTGATGTTTTTTAATCGTCGTAAGTAAATTGACGGGTATTGACACGCTATGAGTCGCTATTCTTTAGTCTATCGAGACAGCGTCAAGAATAAATATCAGAATTTATAAGTTGAGCAGAGGGACTCGGGACCTATGCCATATATTTGTACTGCTTCTTGGTTGGTTTGAGGACTCGATCGGCTTTGGATTGGCTTTGGATCGGCTTTGGGCCATCTCGGCGAGCAGCCTAACTGGTTCGGTTGAGCCATGTGGATAAAGATTTTTATCGATAACCCGCTCATATATAATCGTGAGTCGGTCGAGTTCCGAATAAAGTTGATCGATGATCGGATTAAACCACAAGGCTAAAGCTGTGGCTAGTGCCCGACTGCAAGTCGGGGGTTGTATGTAGCTACCTTTACCTGGCGTCATGACTGTAGCTTGGGGGGGGGACATTATTCTAGAAAGCCCTAGAAATAAATAGATAGATATTCATTTATAACGTCTGAGAACGAGTCTAAGAAAATTTATAAATTAATAATAATATAATAATATAGGAATAACCGATTTTCAAGTAACAACCAATATAGATATATAAGCTTTAGAAGAGGTAGTCTTCTCAAAGCAGGGCTTGTCGCCCGCAGTCGGGTTTGAGTGCTGCCACGGGCATCCGACGAGTTTATAAGACCGCATGGCTGAATTCATAGCTTAGAGGAATAGGTAGTTTTTATCTTGTAAACCAGCCTGGGTAGCTTCAAATGCCACGAGACCTGCAAGGAGGAAGGTGAAGAGGAATTGGGGAGGGAGATGAAGGGCGCTGCAGAATTAAGGAACGAGCTTCGAAGAGAAAGAGGCACAACTTGTCTGGTTTCGACTAAGAAAAAAGAAAATAGGGTATAAATTCGTCTGCCTCGGCGACCCCTACTTGTGACAAATCAATTGTATTCAACAACTGGCCTCTGGTAGCCCGTAGGACTAAAGGCATAACTCTTAAAAAAAAAAAAAAAAGTAAACACATACGCGGCTTCCTACGCAGTCAAGAAATTAATATAATCTCGCCTCAATATTTCAATGTAGCTATATAATACAGAACTGTGTAGGTTTGGTCTAGTGATAGTGAACCACTCTGATAATAGGTTTCTGGAAATATTTTAAATTCACCTAAGACTAACGTATAACGATTATATACATAAATTTGTGCAAGTCACTCGAGCTCTTCTACCTCTAGGTGCTCTGCGTCCCCGATCTTCCCGTATAGAACTGGGAAGTTGACGATGTTATGATCCTGGTACCAACCTCAAACATGAATTATGCCCCGTTTAATGCGTTCCGAATTTTATGCCCTACAGGACATCCTTTAGGGGAGCGACTAAGATATAAGAAGGGGATGGTCGCGTGAAGGGAAATTTAATTTGCTACCTCTCTCCATACTATTTTGTCGATTTCAATATCCAGGTCTTTAATGGTTTCTTGCCCAAACGCTACAACAAAGAGGGAGCCCCTCTGTAGGTACGTATATAATGGGCCTAGTGATAGTGTATATTTGTATCTAAATGTTTTAGAATGCAAACTCTTGGAAAAACTACGATTAGAAGCCTGCAATTAATGGTCCTATACTGGTTACCTTGCCTCTAGCGCCTGGACTCGAGGCTAGCCAAACTCTCACCAGGCTGAAAACCCTAGACCCTAACGTAGTCCAAAAGGCAGCGATTTTTTCATGAAAGCGGGTTTAGCTCAGTTGGTAAGTTCCTAAAAACTCTTCAATAATCAAACACACGAACAAATCACTAACACAACTTCTCAGGGAGAGCATTCGACTGAAGTCAAACTTCAATCCATACATCGAAAGGTCGTGTGTTCGATCCACACAAACCGCATTCAATCTTCTTTTTTGCTTTCTTTTAGCTCTGGTGGATTCTATTTTTTGGTGATGTTCTTTTTTTTGGAGCCTTTGACGGATGGGTGTTTGTGTATGCATTGTCCGGGATCGGAAGGTGCGGGGGTTGTTAGCCGGGAGCTAGGTCTTTTTTATCGATTTAGTGCGGGGCAGTATTGATTGTACCACTAGTTTTCCCTGCATTACTGTGCACCTAATCTGAGGGGCAGTTTACAGAGTCGAGAAGGGAGTGGATACCTAGGTATCTACCTACTTAGTGAAGGTGAAAATCGATATCGATATCGCTATCGATATATCATGCGGGTGTTGGATGTTGGATTCTGACCACTTTTAAAATTTGCAGAAGCGGGGCAGGTGGGGTAACTATATTGTATTATGGGGATGATTGTTCATGCCAATTACACTTGTAGCCTGCTTTTTAGACAGTCTGGCGATTCAATGGTATAAAACTACAGTTCATGGGAAGTTAAGCTTCGCCTTTACAAAGTTGAATTCCACTTCCTAGATAAAAAGAATAAACTTGAAAAAGGTGTCATCAACAACCTAGCGGGTTTAGCTCAGTTGGTAAGCTTCTAATCTCACTCAACACTACTCAAACAACACCGTCTAACAATCTTCTTAGGGAGAGCATTCGACTGAAGTCACACTTCAATCAATAAATCGAAAGGTCGTGTGTTCGATCCACACAAACCGCACTCATCTTTTTTTTGCAACTTTTTTGCTTCACAAATGCTTTGCGACGTGGAAAATATCTCGTCTTTTTTTGAGTTTCCGTTTGGGTGATTGTCGTATTTTACCGGATCCCGAAAAGACGGAATTGCCTATTCATCATATCATTGTTTGATAGGCTTCCTATGGAGAAGTGCCGGCGACTTCGGTCATCAGGTGATGATATCCCTTAAAGCAGCCGACCAATTATCCATTGGGGCTCCGGTGGCCGGCCATCTCGCTGGCGATCTGCGTCGTACATCTGCGCGAATATAATACGATCCTGGCCTCTTTCTATCGTGATTGGAGTGTGGTTCTACTGAGCCACATCGCGATGACGTGCGCCACATGACCTTTAAATACACATGTGGCGCGGTTCGGCTGCATGACGCTCCGTCGTAAATCGCTGATTACTATCAATTGAACGCCATCCAAACCTCTGGAATCTGACAGGCAAATCCCCAAATAGTTTCAGAATTTCCAGTGGCGTTAGGCGACAAAGCCCACCCAGTGAAGTGGACAAAAAGTATATGCGTGAAGAGCTAAATTTCGACACGCTTAATGTATATAACTTCGTCCTGTTGCGTCTTTCTATCGAAGATCCTACCCAAACCCGGTGGCTTGATAGCGCTCCCCCGGATGGAACTTACATATCGTTGATACTTCGTATCGCGACAGATGTAGAGTTGACCGTAAGCTCTTTTCGTGGTTCTTCTTATGCCATTTTTTGCGGGGGGTTGTTTCAGGATTGGCTTTTCCCTTAAAATATATGTGTTCTCCGAGAACCGACGTGCCGGAGCGTGGAGATGTTTAGTTACTCTTTGAGCTCTTGGCTTTTGCTTTTGTATATTGGAGGCCATGTGGTCCATTACTCTGTACCGTGGAGAAGTGACGGGTATTCGAGCGACCAATCCGGCCGGATAATCTGTTAACCCGGGTGAAGGTGATGAAATTTTCGTCCCATAATTATTATATCACTCGCCACAATCAGGGTTCATGACATAGGTGCCCTCCTGACGATGATTTATGTCTAGAAAGTATTCGGCTTTTAGCCTTTTTTACCAAAAGCTTCGAGATCAAAAGTCTCAAGCTCAAGTTCAGCCTTTGGCTTTTTCTGTGTGTGGAGGAACGCCCACCGCCCACAGCTCGGGATTAGGCGCCATCGAAAAGTCCTAAGATTCCCTTTCCCCTCCCGTTTCAGATGTTGGACCCACATTTTAGTTTTAGCAACCCAACGTACCAACCAACAACGGATCTGACCAGAAAAGCTTGCATCACCTTGCGAGGGGGACACCAACGTTTGTGCATATTATTGGGCGATGTTATAGCGGGCAAGGGGGCATGGGCTAGCTTTTTCGACAAGCGTTGGGGTTATTCCAGACGGGACTCATCGGGATTGACCCTATAAGAGTCAACTAGGCTTTGGCCGGCGATTCAGCGAATTAGGGACGATATTTTGATCTATACAGAGTATGCATTGGGATAGAAGGATTTTCTTTCTCGTTTCTTTTTTCTTTCTTTTTGGCGAGTATACATGCATGTTATTCACGAGGGGGAAGAAATGGTGGGATGGTCTTTTTGATCATAAGATGGGGGAGCTTTGACCTTTCATGAGGTACCACGTTGACATGTGGACTTTGGAAAGGTCTCGATACCTGTAGATACTGTGCGATGAGCTGGTCGTCTATGCAGGTACGAGGTTTATTAAAATTGCACGAGCTCGCATTTTCTCGAATCCCCGTCTGTCGAGAGTCATTCATATTCGTGAATATCGTGATTCTTGTTCGACACTAGTTTTTTTTTTTTTTTTGTTCCCGTTCGTGGCATCCCCTTTCCGCTGTAGTGTTACAAGTATACATCGAGCGATACTGGATCCGAAGCTAGTCGCATGGGATAGCTGCAAGGTACCGGTACCGAGTCTTACTGCTTTTCTTTTTGCCCCTTCCTCCCCCATGTATTATCGCGACATCTGGCACGATTCAATGGTGGTCTTTATTCGGCTTCTCTTGCATGTTAAATGCAGGAGTTTATTAATTACATATACACAGCGCATCATGATATAATAGATGAAAAGTTTAAGAGAAAAATTCAACGTTTATGGACGGTGAAGGAGCCAATAATTAGGGTTTCCTTTGCCGGTCCATGCGTAAAGGAACGAAAAGAGAGTTCCCTTGGACAGCTGTCGCACGAAGCACCTCAGCTGTTCCCGCTCTCGCAATAGAGAGAGAAAAAAAGGTTGACTCGTCTCACCGCACGAGCCCGGAAAGTATGTGAGACCGGAAACTGTAAGAGAAAAAAGTTTTCCTTTGCAAATCAGCTGTGGTGGGCAAAGCCGTAGGGTCTGCGTATTTCGTATTGGTGGTGGGCTGATATATTCTCTCCAAACTCCCTCCTTCCTGCTCCGCCATCCTTCCTCGGAGCCCTTTGTTAAGATTTTCTCCTCTGGTTGAGTCTCTCCTTCGTTTCGGTGTCTCGGTCACTCCCTCTTTGTCTCTCATTGCTATTGGTGTTTTAATTTTTTCTTTCTCTTCGCGTGTGAATAGTTGCTGGACGCATTTATTCATGTTTGCATTTTTACATTTGAAGGCATAAAAATAAATTCTCTCATTCGCGGAAACATATTTTCTGTACTCTGATTGATTCATTGATCCATTGCTGGTTGATTGATTGTTTCTGTGCGGGCATTTGATTGCATTGAGGCAGCGCAGAGAGTCAGGTCGAGTTATAGCTGCCTGCGGTTTGCATATTACGACAACATTCATTGGTAATATACGCTCGAGTCGTCTCCCCGGTCCCGGCATTTTTGGGTTAAAAAAAGAATCTCATCGATAGCAGCTTTTGCATATTCGAGTTTCATCCATCGGACTTTTTTTTACCATTTTTTTCTAATCATTTCCACCTGATATTTCCCCCGTTATCACGATCTCTCTCTCACCTGCATCTTTTGCTCTTCCTCTTCTTCGTCACTCTCCTTCCAAGTTGGGCCAGACGAGAACCACCTCACCGACAACACATTTTCGACAGAGACAAAAGAACCGAGTCTCAACTAGGCACCTGCCGTGAGAAACACCAAGTTTTTTCCTGTCGACGAGACCCTTCTTCTACCTGCTTCCTTTTCTTTTTCTTCTTTTCCCTTCTGCTGGGTGTCTACATATACGCAACAATCGATAAGGCCAGAAATAACCTGCGTCTGTTTTTCTGTCACAAGCGTCTTTTTCGACAGACTTGTGAATTGTCGATAGAAAAAGAAACAGCCCCTGATCGAAATCGCGCCCTTGGACGGTTGTTTCAAGAGCCTGGATCTTCAACAGTCATTACCCACAAGCTTACAACTGCAGTTAACTCTAGCCTAGTCGACTCCTCGGCAAGCGCTGCACCGTGTTCTATTCTTTGATCACTTATTTTCTGACCTGCAGCATTTGATACTTAAACATAACACCGTGCAGCATTTCGGACTAAGAAACCAAGAGACTAAAGCGAAAAAGAAGCCAACTGTGCTGCTGGCTTGAAAAAAGTGCGGAAGGCTGCCTGTCAACCACCGGATTCTACTCGACTAACGTTGGTCACGTTGGGCTTGTTCTCTTTAGCCAGTTGACCCTGCAGGAAAGAGAAGGAACTTGACGGGCAATAGCTGGGAGAACCCGGTCATTTTTCGGCACACCCTCAGCGTCTTTCCAGAAGGACCACTCGTACCGCACGGCTTCCCTTTTTTGGTAGACTGCCCTTTATAGCCAGGCTGCTGCCCCCTCCCTCAGGACTTCTCTCCCTCTCTTTCTCCACATTTTTCTTTTCTTTCTTTTCTAGGCGGTGGGAATATAGGCAGGTAGCAGGTGCTCCTCACAGACAAAGCAAAGCAAGCAAGCACGCACGCCTTCGACAGGCCGGACCGGATCAAATCTTCGACCGACGAACCTCAAGATTTCTTGCATTTGCATTGTTGCGAACGGTGTCAATTGAATTGACGGGCAGATCTTGGACGTATTTGGTTTCACAGGTGGAAACAAACAACACACCCCGTCCCCTCGCAACAACAAACCCGTGCCCGCAACGCATAAACGGCCCCAATCTCTAGGCCCAACAAGGCAGCTGCCGTTTACATCTTGTTTCTCTAATCTCGCAGACACAACCAAGGACTTCGACAGCCCTTCCCACACTTACCGCTTCTATAAAAGAGAAATTAAGATCGGGTCCTAAAGCAAACATGGAAAGAATATCCCGAGCCTCTAAAGCGTTCCATCGCAACTCTAAGAACCTGCGCGATTCCCCTCCTCCAGACTCACCGGACCGCAGTCGTTTCGGTAGCCTAAGATCTAGTCGATCGTCGAGGAACAGTGCCCACGGTGGCAGTCTGGACAACATAAAGTTTCAAATATCTGCGCCCGTCGAGCTCATTTCTTCCACCAATATGCTCTCTTACACTTCACTCGCCCTCAGGAGCCCCAGTCCTACAGGCAAAACCGCTTCGTCGATTGGTTATTCTCCTTTGCAATCTCAACAGAATACCTTTGATACTGCGGCTGCTGCCCAAAGAGCATCGCAGAAGGTTCAGCCAAAGGTTGATGTGGTAGTCAGCCCGAGACCCAGCAGATATCAGCCACCCTCTCCAGCCTCTACGATTGGAGATTCGGCCAAGGGACCATTGTCCCCAGAGTTAGGACTTGCGATCTCAGACGTTCTTACGCCACCTGCTACCCCACCACCAGATCATCTTCCACGCCATTCGAGGTCTAGCATTGGAAAGTCTGCAGGAATGTCTATCTATAATCGCCAATCTGGTAGCCTGCAGAGGATCAGAAGCACTTCGTCCCTTTCTTCGTCGATCTCTAATGGATCTAGCCACGAGAGCTACAAACTCGAAAACGAGGAAATCGGGCCACTACCTGAACCAAGGAGGATCACTTCGAATTTTGGAACGGTGCCAATCCCTTACAAAGGACCAATGCAAACGAACTCCCGCTCTTCCAACTCTCCTACCACGTACAATGGA